CCTTTTTCATGAATATGGAAATATAATAATAATAACAGCTTTATTATTGCCTCTAGGGCATATTTCCATCACCTCCGTCATTGTTCGTCTCATCGTTGTTCGATCTGGAGCATGTGGTTGCCAATATGACTATGGTCCCCTTCACTGGCACATAACAGCGCTCATCATCTTCCTCATGGGTGATGTGGGCCCCTTCATCTCCGCTTGCTCCTCCTCAAACGTTTGCACCAGATCCGGCCACAGGGGAACTAGCACCTGAGTGGCACCAGTTACCCCTAGATCTGGAGTCGTGTGTCGGCGACCACTACTCTGTGTCGGACTTCTTGCTCGTCGCAGCAGAGCGAAGGTTTGGTGGTGTATGGCAACTGGTTGATGTGTGCGAGAGGTTGAGATTGTTGCGGTAGGGTTTGCGAAGAAGGGGCCCGGATGACTTTAAACCAGAGTAGGCTTCTCGGTCACCACACCGCCATGACTAGAGCGGGCGTGATGGGAGTGAGGCTTTTGGTGGGTCTGTTATCGGAGTCCGACGTGGCCAACGTCCCGACTCCCCCAAACCTCACCCCCATTTGATGCCGGTTTGAGGGATTCAGACGACTGGATTGGTCCAGAACAATTTAGTGACCGTCGTTGGAATGGCCTAAAGTATCTGGACATTTGAGGGCGATTTGGTGATCCGCGTTGGATTAGCCCCAAGAGTAGCCATTTCTTGGTCTATGTGGTTTCTTACTATATAAGCCTAGCATAAGCATATATACATGCCACCGGTGTAGTAGACAATAGTGACTTGTAACCGTCACACTTGATCAACGACTATTGCAGCGGCATATCCATGTACGTATGAAGTCCTCATCTGTCATGGTTGTCATGCCGAGGAGGTGCGGTTTTGCTCCTCCTCGCCCGAGGAGATCGACTCAGGCTTGATGTTTGTCAGAACCGCGGAGGATGAGGGGCCTGAAAACCATGGGCGACAGCGCCAACTCGTTGGGGAGCCACACGCCGGCCACCACTTCTCGGCATCGGACTTCTTTCCCATCACGGCGGAGGTGTTTAGGGTGTGCTGCGACTTTGAAAGAGGGAAGGGGTGTAGGGTTTGCGTGTTGATCTCGCTAGACTTTAATATCCGAAGCAAACACGACAAAGCTTCAATGTGGCAGAATATGCTTCTTGGTCTCCATGGTGTGTGAATGTCAGGTAGACGGACGGCCGTCAGCCAACATGGATTCTAGTTGGTTGTCGTCCGAACACGTTCACTCGGGCCGACATGAATGTGACATGGAGATAAAGGAGTCGAGCTGATTTCCCAGTTTAGATCAATTGCTCTCATTAACAATTTTGTTAAGTTCCCTGTGAAGGGCTTTGCCACTCGGCTTACACCCATAGCCCACAGAACTATTAGTCCTTTCCAGTCGGCATTTATCAAAGGTTGTTTTATCCTAGATGGGATCCTTTGCTTACACGAGATCGTTCATGACCTCAGAATCCATAAGTCGAAAGCGGTGGTATTAAAGTTGGACTTTGAAAAAGCATACGATTCGGCCAGCTAGCCTTTCTTGAGAAAGGTCCTCCTGGCCAAAGGTTTTGACGAGGCTTATGTTCACAGGATCATGTAGTTGGTCTCGGGGGGCCACACTGCGCTCGTTATTAATGGTCAGGTCAGTAATTACTTTGCCAACAGAAGGGCCTGCGGCAGGGTGACCCTCCTTCTCCTATCCTGTTCAATTTTGTTGTGGACTCTCTGTCTCGTATTCTTTCCAAAGCTGCTACTCATGGTCATATATCTCCTGTTATCTCCCACCTCATTCCGAAAGGGGTCACTCATCTTCAGTATGCAGATGACACTATCATCATGGTAGAACTGAATGACTCTTGCATTGCCCACCTCAAGTTCATACTTCTCTGTTTTGAAGCCTTGTCGGGGCTTAAAATTAATTTCTCTAAGAGCGAGGTCATAGTCGGTGTTGACGATACGGAGGCTTTAAGGGTGGCCCATCTTCTTAAATGTAAGTTGGGATCCTTTCCCTTCAAATATTTGGGCCTCCCGATTTCTCTGGATATGCTCTATGCTAAATAATGTGCCCCTGTTGTTGCTAAGGTTGGCAATAGGGTGCTTCCTTGGAGAGGCAGATACAACACAAGTGCTGGGAAAGTGGCGCTGATCAACACTTGCTTGTCTTCCTTACTGATGATTCTCATGGGCTTTTATTTACTCTCTGCCGGCACGCATGCTGGCTTCGATAAGCATCGGGGTGCTTTTTTCTGGAATGCGGCAGACAATACGCGCAAGTACAGACTTGTCAGGTGGAAAGTTATGTGTAAACCCAAAAACCTTGGAGGGTTGGGCATCATAAACACTGCTATCATGAATAAATGCCTCTTTATTAAATGGTGGTGGAAAATTATGACCATGGGAGCTGGTACTTTGTGGCTTTCTATCCTTAAAGCAAAATATTTCCCTCTTTCTAGCCCCCTGTTCGCCTCTGCTCGCAGAGGCTCGCAGTTTTGGAAAGATCTTGTTAAAGTTAGGCCGTTGTTTTTGGCTCACGTTAAGTTTGTAGTTGGGGATGGGGTTTCAGTTCGTTTTGGCTTGATTGGTGGTGTGGAGACTCACCTCTCTCTATGAGCTTCCCTACCCTTTTTTCCTATTGCCCTAATCCGAATATCTCCATCGCGGGGCTCTCGGCGAATAACTGGGACTTAGCCTTCCGGCGCTCCTAATCTCCTATGGAGTCAGAAGAGTGGCAACGGCTTACTGCCTTCTTCCCTACGCTCTCAGAGACTACAGACACGATGGTCTGGCCCCATACTTCTTCTGGGCATTTTTTGGTCAAGTCTTTGTATTCCAAGCTAATTGGTGGTTCCCCCACTAACAAATTTACTCATGTGTGGAGGGCTCGTATTACCCCTAAAGTTAGGATCTTCCTGTGGCAAGCTTTCAAAGGCCGTCTTCCCGCGGCTGACCAAATTCGTAAGAGGAATGGCCCCGGTCGGAGTTCTGGGCCCTTTGCGGAGCCCTGGAGGACATGAATCATATATTTTTTCACTGCGTTTTGGCCAAGTTGGTCTGGAGTTGTGTCAGAACATGGCTCCAGGTTCCCTGGGATCCTTCTTCATTCTCTGAGCTCCGAACCCTGACTAATTCTTTGGCTGGTGTTACAAAGAGAGTCTTTTGGGTAGGACTTGGAGCGATCTGTTGGTCCTTGTGGACTACTAGAAACAAGTTTACTATCGAACATGTTTTTCCTGCTAAGCCTGCTGATTGCTTATTTAAATCATGTATGTTGCTACAACAGTGGAGATTATTGACTAAGCCGGAGGACCGGGATGCTCTTGATCTTTTGATATCTAAAATGCGGGCCTCGGCGTCTTCCTTATCCAGACCGGAGCATGTTGCGTAGTTGCTTTTGTGTCTCTTTTGACTAGTTGCTGGCTATATCGCTGGTTATCTCTCCGGCCTGCACGCCGTGTGTTGGCCTGGGTGCCATGTATCTCTTTCTCTAAAACTTTGGGTGGGCCCTCGTCTGGGTCACCGTTGTGTTCGTTGGTCTGGTTGGATGGTTGTTTCGGAACACTGCCTGGTGGCTTTATTTATAAAGTCTGGCACATGCCTTTTCTCTAAAAGGGTTTTAGAATAACGGACGCGACGGAAGAAGGGTTTAAGGTTGGTTCGGGTGTCAGAGCCTGACGTGGGAGACGTGTGAAACCATCCAAACCCGCTTTAGTTTGGTGTAAATTTGCAGGATTTCGGACGCCGGATTGGTCAGAAAAATTTAGGTAACCGTGGACTAAAAATATCTGGTCCAAATATTTGCGATCGATTTGGTGAGGCGTGATATATAGACGGTGCTACTGGAGGGGAACTTTTGGTTCCTGAGTACATATGTACCCTATATGAATTTTTTTTAGCAATTCAACAAAAAGTCAAAAATTTCTGAAATTAACTTGACCTTTCATTGTACTAGTGAGAAAAGTTTCACAAAAAGAAAGTTCCTCTTTGACTTCTTTTAAAAAAGACAAATTTTCAATCAAAATAGCGTGAATAGTGACCTATAATAGCAAATAATTTTTGTCTTTTTCTATGTGAAGTCAATGTTGGTTTTTTTGTGAAAATTTATATACTAGTGCGCAAGTAAGTCAAGTTTAATCTATTTTTGAACTATTTTAATTTTTTATTTAACTATTTAAAAAAATACCCATTTAAGGTTTATATACATACGGGAGCCAAAGGGTGTTTCTCCGGTACTACTCTGCTAAAAAAATGCTATTGGTGCAGTAGACCGTAGTAGTAAGGAAAAAAATTATATGAGACCAGGTCTCACGGTTAGCAGGTGAGACCCGTCCTGATGGATGACACGTGTCATTCACAAATCACAAAGCATCTAATCTCCTCTCCTCCTGATTTTAAGTGGAGGGTGAGAAATGCTTTGTAATTTGTGAATGCCACGTGTCATTCATCAGGATGGGTCTCGAGTGAGACCTGGTCTTATAGAATTCTTTTCTGTAGTAGTATCTTGAAACCGAAAGATGGGTAAATGCATGATGAACGCGGTTCCCCAAAAATTCAC